TGAATTGGAAGAATTGGTGACCATAAAATTATTCCGTTCTTTACCTCAATCGGAAAAGTCCTATTGGAATGAGGATGGAGTAGTCTGCTCTAGATACATGTAATGCAAAGTGTGCCACATACACATACATATCTCAGCCAAAACTTTATACCAACCATATACCCGGTTTCATTTCAGAATTGTGAAAGTTGAGTTAGAAATGTTGTTCGTTGCTCTCCTCCACATTGCCAGCAGGAGCCCAGCAGGGCTTTGGGAAGGTTGGCTGAGCACTTCCGCTAAGGAAGACGATTGTTCTCCAGGGAGGATGATATTTCGATCCCAGCAGTATTTTGGCAGAGAAAACCCATTTTCCGTCACCCCCTAGGGATGAGCGTCCTCTAGGGATGATTCATCCCAAACTAGAGACTCCCTCCCTATACATCCCCTTGTCAACTTTCCCAGTTTAAAAACTACTCTGCCACCTGTTTGATTTGAATCAGCAGGAATCTGGTTCTGTTTTAGCTAAACTGATGTTATCAACAAATTGACCCCCTAAATAATAAGATGTGAATCATGATGAATGAATTTATACGAAATCTATTTTCTAGACAGTCTCCCAATGCCAGTAAATAACAAGAACAACAACAACAACAACAACAACAACAACAACTTTATTTATATTCTGCCCCATGAACGACAAAAAATACTGAAAGGGTTTGGTGGGCATTGACCTTGAGTTTTGGAGTTGTAGTTCCTACATCCAGAGAGCACTGTGGACTCAAGCAATGATGGATCTGGACCAAACTTGGCACAAATACTCAATATGCCCAAATCTGAACACTGGTGGAGTTTGAGGAAACTAATCTTTGACATTTCGGAGTTGTAGTTGCTGGGATTTATAGTTCACCTACAATCAAAGAGCATTCCGAACCCCACCAAGGATAGAATTAGGCCAAATTTCTGATGGTCTTTGGTGACCCCTCTAACACCCCCTTGCAACTGACTCCCAGGTTGAGAAACATTGATCTAGATGGTCTCCCTATATGTCACCATTTTGATAAAGTCAAGTAGACTGTATCTCCTCTCTCTCAAGACTATGCTAATCAGACCATCCTTGGAAAACTACCTATCTCATGGACATGAATACTTAGTTGAACTAACCCTCTCACAATGGACCATGAGAATCAGGAAAGCCATGTAAAGTATGCATGCATTCCATGTACATCCCATTCTGTCTCTCCTATACTCATGAACTGAAACCTCTTTCTATTGATAAACTCCCATTTCATTGAGAAACCTACTGCAGTTTTTGTGGGGGTTTTCCTGCTTGCATTGATGCCATCTGGACTGTCTACTGCTAAGCATCAGTGCATAAGTTGCAGGCGATGCTAGTCCACTCAACTGTTGATCACCTGTAATTTGCTTATTGTTTTTACTGGACTATCCCTTTGTGCTTAAATGGACTGAGACACTGAGTCAATCAAAACTCATTAACATATTACCACACCACATTCCTAATTTTCACGCACCCTCTGGACGCAGATTTTCTACAAACTCAGACTTCAACCCAGAAAATGACAGCTCCTTAAATCTCCTATCACCAGGAGGACCAATCACAATGCTCCTAGCCAACAGGAACCTTGGCCAAATTGTTGTTATTCTGTGCTTTCAATCATTTCAGACTTAGGTTGACCCTGAGTGAGGGCCCGGTAAATGACCTTGGAAGACCGTACCCAGCCCCCGGGCCTTAGTTTGAGTACCCCAGGCCTAGGGGCTGCCACGATAGTATAACATATGGGCATTAATTATGCAATGACAGCCAATGGAGTGGCTTATCTGCCATAGTTTTGATGTGCAATAGGCAACAATGCACACTGACGATGCCGATGTACATCCAGACCCCAGTTAGGAAATGCCCAGGGGTGACTCAACCCATTATGCAAAGTAAGCATTTGCAGTATAGTTGATTTTGCCCAGGGGTGCTCTTGAGGCTCTCTTGGGGGAAAATAGACCTTGACATATGCGAGTTGTAGTTACTGGGATGTATAGTTCACCTACAATCAAAGAGCATTCTGAACTCCACCAATGATGGAATTGAACCAAATATGGCACACAGAACTCCCACGACGAACAGAAAATATATATCAAGGATTGGTTGGGGGGGGGGCGCCAAATACTGTTTGCTTACCATTTGAAAATTACCTAGGACTGCCTCTGGAAATGCCAGAAGACACAAGACCATTGCAGATGTGTTCTAACACTTTAATGAGACTCTCCTTACTTTTGCAATGTTTCTCTATGTTTTCCTCAGCCTTGCTTCATTCTTCTCAGGTAGCTTCCAAAGAAATGCAATCTCTTGCTTTCACACACAGACCGTTATTGCTACAGAACCTGTTAGAAATTGTGCGCAACCTCAGATGTCCTGACATCTCACCACTGTGCCCACAAAGCTGATACATATGCCAGGGGACATGAGAACATTGTTTTTACACTTTGCATAGCTAAGGTTTGCAGTTTATCCTAACTTGGCATGCCAAGAGATGAGTCATTGAACATCAGATCTAATATGCTCCCACCTTTGGCCTAGTTATAAGAATGAGTGGGGAGAGGATTTTTTGTTAGCTGCATCTTTTGACAGTCCACATAGTTTGTAGAATATAAGGATAGGCTTGTGCCTGGATATAAGTCTTTCTTAGGACTTTCTTAGGAGAAGTTTCAACAGACTGGAGGAGGGCAAATGTTGTCCCTATCTTTAAGAAGGGGAAACAATTGCCATCCAGGCAGCCTGACATCAGTATCAGGAAAGATGCCTTAAGATCATTAAGGAGGCAGTCTGCAATCACTCAGACAGGAATGCTGTGATTGCTAAAAGTCAACATGGATTTCTCAAAAACATGTCACACCAGACTAATCTTATATCTTTTTTATCTAGAGTTACAAACTTGGTAGATGCAGGGAATGCTGTGGATGTAGGATATCTGGATATGTATTGTATGTAACGCATGGCATTGAACTGTACCTTTATGTGCACTGCTCTGAGTCCCCTTTGGGGTTGAGAAGAGCGGAATATTAATATGGCAAATAAAAAATAAATAATATCTTGATTTCAGTAAGGCCTTCAACAAGGTCCTCCATGCCCTTCTTGCAAGCAAACTAGTCAAATGTGGGCTAGCTAGGCAATGCTACTATTAGGTGGATCTGTAATTGGTAAAGTGACTGAACCCAAAGGGTGCTCACCAATGGTTCCTCTTGATCCTGGAAAGAAGTGGCTAGTGGAATGACACAGGGTTTGGTCCTGGGCCCAGTACTGTTGAACAACCTCTGAGGATGCTTGCCATAGATGCAGGTGAAACGTCAGGAGATAATGCTTCTAGAACATGGCCATACAGCCCTAAAAACCTACAACAACCCATCTTTATTAATGACTTGGATGAAGGTTTA